CACCAAATTTTGAGGACACTTTTTTAATTGGCTCAAAGAGAGAAGTGGCCCATCTTGTCTTGTACTATCTTTGTCTATACACAAACAAATATAACTTTATGTTATGAGAGCGAGGACAATGAGCATCAAAATGTTGATTACTTACTTACTTTTTTTTTTATTAACAGGTCTATATATTATTATCATCACCTCAGAACTGTTTCGTCCAAGGTGCCTCTTTACTTAAGTACACTTTTGACAAATAGCTCTTTTGGTTTTTTAGTTTTAGTAGAGGTTTCACGGCGTTCGCAACGGCATGAGGTCGTATGAGCACCAAGGGGTGGATGTCAACAGAGAAGTCCTTACAGGGAATCAGACTTACTCTGCTCACCTCTCTAGCTTCAATAGCACAAAATCTGCTTCGACTATCAAGGCACGCCGGAAACAGCAGGTCACAAACATGAGACAAACATACAAAAGAAGTAGAGGAAAATGACAATAGTAAGGATTAGGAAAGAAAAAGCAGCAGTTCCCTGTTGTAGATCAGCCACAGTTATGAGCATGACATTGATGAATCAGCCCATTTACAATTATACTGTGCATGAATGAGAAATGTCCCCCCTTTGGGAATGGCCTAAAGACACTTCAGTCAGTGGCACTGCCCCGGGGGGTACAAAATAGCTCTGAGGCGACGATATATATAAAACACATAAATAAATATTTTGTTCTACATATATACAGTATAACACGGATGGCTTGAATTTGTCGAGACCGGCCTCGGTAGTTCCAGGAATCCTTAGTTCGAGGGAAATTTTACAAAGGTAAAGAAGAAGAAAAATAACGAGACCGCAGGCACAGTTCTACGGATGTGTGATTTCAAGTCTTCTGTGTTCGACCTATGCGTGTTATACTGTCTACACTTGTATGTCAAGTATTTTTTTATGTTATTCCCTTAGAAAATAACACGCACTGAGCAGTTTTTTAGAAAATGAAAACCAGCATCTGTGGTGTAGTGGTTAGGTGCTTCATTGTCACACACAGGAGATCCATGTTTCATTCCCAAGTGAGGAGAAATCTAAATTGAGTATCTTGGTTCTTCTATTGGAATGCTGTATCCCTCGGAGCCGAGGTTGGTCCTGATAGGCAGGATTGAAAGCCCATGTCCCAAACGATCTAATTAGTGTAAATAAAAGTGAAAAACACCTACATTCACAATTACTTTCTTAGAAAGAAAATGGAACTTCGCAGCATAGATGCTGCTTATTATTATTATCATTATTATTATTGTTATTATTATTATTATTATTATAATTTTATTATTATTTCTATTATTATCATTATATTACAATTATCTATAATAACAGACAGTATTTGTAGAGCCCAAATCCCCGCTCAACAGCAAGCTCTATGCGCTTCACAATTTACACTATTACCCCGGCAGACCTGAGAGCATTCTGAAACAAACTCAACTTCTTGGGAAGCATATAGTTACAATTCCGAGAGCCGCAAACCACTAAAAGTCTCAAACATTTGCCCGACTCACAATTTCGTGGATGACGACTTTGTTTTGCGACTTGTCTCCCACGATGTTGCACGGCGTGATGAATGTCAGACACGGATTCTCCATCCCTCCGAACGGAAAAGATGGCGGCATGACCAGAATGTCGTACTTGGTCCACACGTACTCTCCAAACAACTGTTCGCCCGCTAGAAGAAATTCCTCAACGTCGCCTCTTAACTCTGCGGCCGCTTTGTCCTGAGGTAGGGTTGGAGATTAGTTTAGTTTTTGAAAGGTTTTACGGCGCTCGCAACTGTATTATAAGGTCATATGAGCGACAAGGGGCGGATGTCAGCAGAGAAGTCCAAATGGGGAATCAGGCTTACTCTGCTCACTTCTCCAGCCTCAACAGCAGAATGTCTGCTTCGACTATCAAGGTGCCTCGGAAATAGCAGTTCACAAGAGAGGGACAAACATACCAAAGAAGTAGAGGGAAAATGACGATAGTAAGGATGAGGGAAGAAAAAGCAACAGTTCCCCCTATATTGTTCCGGCACAGTATGAGCACGATATTGATAAATCAGCCCATTTACAATTCTACTGTGCATAAGAACATGTTAATATCCCCTCTTTGGGAATGGCCTTAAGACAATTTCAGTCAGTAGCACTGCCCTGGTGGGCGGGGTTGGAGATTGAGAAAAGAGAGTCACAACAACACGATAATATAGTAGAAGATAACTATAGCGGGACTTTTACTTCAAAAAGAAAAATCCCGCTGCAGGCAAGTTCCCACTATAGGAACGCGAAGGGAAAAATCAAACACTACACACTTTCCTCTTCTTTTACTGTCTTTTTGGAGCCCACCTACAGCCCCCACACCCCACACCCCCCCCCCACCCCATATTCCCTTCCCTCCCGCTAGAGCTCATTCGTTCCCTCCGGCTGTATCCAAGTTCAGGCCTTTTCTTACCATTTAAATCCAAGCACAGGTATTTGAGTTTACATAAGACTATAAAAGGGGATTCCGGTAAGGTCCCACTGTAGGGATGGCCCCGTTGCAGCGGGTTCCGCTATAGTCATGTTCTACTGTAATGATTTAGTGGGCAGGAAAAAGGCAACATATTTCTATACTGCCGTTGTTTTTACTCCTCCATCAACACAATTGAGATCATTTAGAATCAGACCTTCTTTCCTGTAAAACATTTATCATCCTCATCTCTCATCCTTCTTTTCTTTATAGATTACTTTCTCGTGATACCTCTAATCTTTGGCACTTATATGACCTATTTGTGTTGCAAAAGCTGTAAAACTCTTGTTAAAACAAAACGAAGAAATCAAAGCAAGAGCAACGAATGCGAGCACTCACCAGCATGCTCCGCTCAGCCCAGACTTTGCTGCGAGGTCCAATCTCAGCGCTGACAAAGTCGCCCACTGCCATGGCAACAAGGTATACAGGTATTGGTACTTCTTGCTGAACACAAAAACAATGTGTTTGACTCAATATATGTTCTTATGTCACTCAAATGTACAAATACAATATGTCTGACTCAACACATGTGTTCTCATTTACAAATACAATTCATCCAACAAATAGGGCGATCTCATGGTCTAGAGGAACAATTACAATTAATGTTTGCCTCTCATTCAAAGCGTCCTGGATTCGAACTGTGACAACTACGAAGAATTTTCTTCTCTGAAATGTCCTCTTTTCACCTCCTTTCTCATTCTCGAGTCATATTTTGTCATCTGCTTTCATCTCCATTTTCTCCCCCACTCCCAACCCCCCCCCTAGGCTACTCTCTCTTCTACTCCTGATTCTCTCTCCTGCTACTTCGGACTCCTTTTCACTGCTGTCTTTCAGCCACATCCCTGATCTTAAGGTAGGATAAGATTGAACACCTACCCTTCTCAGATAAGGGCAAAATATCTCAGAGGTCTCGTGTGCAAGTTACGCACATTAAAGATCACTTCATGTTCTTAAAATCGACAAGAGAAGGCTTCAGCCCACACTCAGGCAAAATTCTAAATTACTTCCTTCCAAAATCTGAAAAGACTCTAGTCAGTATAAAAGTATATGTGAATCGGAATATGGTCGCCTGAAGGCAAGGGGTTCTAGTAAGTAGGAAAAACAATAGTATCTCGTAAGTGTCATGCGACTATTCCCCCCCCCCCCACCCCCACTCAGTTTCTGGAGATTTCCAGATAAAGCCGTTATTTGAATAAAGACATTAACAAGCATCTTACGATAAAATTTTGTTTTGTTTCGTGCTTTCCTCCCTTGCTTTTAATTGAAAAATAATGAGTGCCCAAGTCCAAAATTTTAACTTATAAAATGACTAAGGTAATTGTGGGGTGGCGCTGACGATATTCATTTCCAAATTCCTTCTCAATCAAACAGGACACATGAGGCATAAATCAGAGAGAAACCAAAGCATTAATCATCAACACGAACCTCAAAGAAGAAGCAGTCGGTTTCTCCTTTCCTGTTCGGCTTTTCTCCCGTAGACATTTTGTTTGCACTCATCAGAGGTGTGAAACCATCAGGGACCTTGACATTGGCAGAGAACGTGACCTTGATTGCCGGGGTGTCTTGGCAAGGGAAGAAGGATCGGTTGAGAACCGCCTGACCCTGCGTGTACATCAGAGGGAGCTTCTTGTCTGAGGATTGTCAATGCAAATGTCATAATAATAATAATAATACATAGCATTTGTATAGCGCCAAATCCCCGCTAAACAGCAAGCTCTATGCGCTTCACAATCTATACTATTACCCCAGCAGACCTGAGAGCATTCTGAAACAAACTCAACTTCCAGGGAAGCATACAGAGCAAGCAGCCATTTATAGGCGCTAAAACACTAACATACAAACAAGATCTTTCGCTGTCTATGGTCGTGTACCCATTTCCACCTGAGTGAAGTGAGGAAAATTCGTGTAAAGTGCCTTTCCCAAGGACACAACGTCTGGCCCGCGGCTCGAACCCCCGACCCTGCAACTTCACAACTACGAGTCCGGTAGCCTAACCACATCACAAAAACAATAATTGCACTTATAAAGCTCTACAGAACGCTCTATGCATTTTACAGCTATAACTCTGTCCCTGAGGTTTTATGCACCCAGCATAATTTAGCAAAATTTGATCATTTTTTGCGTAATTTTTTAGTATTTTCCTCTTTCATTCTTTGTTAAAATTAACAGAAACGCATAATTTCACATTTTTGGGCTCAGTTTGCATAATTTCATAATTTTTCTTGCATAAAACGACGGGGACAGATTACTACTCCAGCAGACCCTAGAACACTACTCAGAAGCATTCTCAGCTTCCTGGGAAGCATTCAGTGCAAGCTGCTTGGAGGGGGGGGGGGGGGGGTGGATGGTGGGTGCTCTGGTGTGGTTTGCTACTTCTTTCTTATCAAACATCTATTGTTGCATATATATATATATATCTCACCCCCTTCTTTTCGTTGCTTGTTACTCTAATCTTTGACATGGATATGACCTCATTGTGTTGCAAGTGCTGTAAAACTCTTTAAACTGAAACTAAACAACAAACCTGTGGTCTGAGGAGGCTCCAGCCAGCAGACGCCAGGACTCGGCGAGGTCACGAACTCAATCTCAACATCAAATTTTTCATTTTTGGCAAACGCTTGGGGGAACTAAACCGCAAAGAAAAGAAGTAAACGAAGCCATCCATTTGAGGGTACAGGCAAGTGTAAGTAAAGAGAAGCACATTGATAGGAAGACATCTATCTAGGTATGGTGACCAGATGACAAAGACATGTGGTTACTTGAGGGAGGCATTGCGCTGCCAAGAGTGAAATGCTCGCAGCAAAAGGGATTTGAAAACAACAACAACAACATCTAGGTATAGGGAAAAAGCAAGACAAGAAACAACTGGGAGAAAGAAAAAAAAAATAAGACCAAACAATGATGCTTCTCTCCCCCCCCCCCCCCCCCCCCCTCACCCTATCCCCTTCCTCATTCATCACAAACCTCCCCCCAAATCGGCAAGAAAAAGTAAAAATTACACGTATTCCATTTTTCTTTTTTGAAGACATTAGAACCTCGGTTTATGATATAATATTGTCCAAAAGTAAAAGATAGTACAGTATTCCCCCACCATATTGCAGTTCACATTTCACAAACTCGCCGGAAGTAGGAAAACCAGGGAAACCCCGTTGACACACTAATGTCCAAGACATGACCAATAAAAGCACATAAAATCATAAACAAATGTATTCAAATGCTTTGTTTCTTTAAATACTGTTGGTCTCTCATACTCAAAGCGTAGGCACTGTTTACGAGAGTAGGAAATAAGTTCATGTGAGTGCCAGTAGGGTTTATGAAGGCATGAAACGTATATAATAAATATAACTTTAGTATTTTGCCGATTTTCCCCTTTTGCTGAGGTTCCGGAGTGTAACTGTAACCCGTGCAATATTCAAGGCAGTACTGTACATGCCATACTCTACTCTAAGACAAAATCAACATTTTTACCCTTCCTGTTAGGGGTAACGGCGGCTGAGAGGGATGCAGCATACCAGCAGAAAGACAAAGATACCCGATAAATAAACTTCCAGAGGGAAAATCAAACTAAAGCCTTTTGCATGCCATGGCAAAGAGCTTAACTATTACACCACAGACACCAGCAAAGATAAGTCTCAAAACTGTATACCAGTATTTTTGTAGTTTTTATTCAGTCTCAAACTGTCACTTTCTGTCTTTGTGAGATAAAAATTCAAAAGGGGAACACTACTACTCTTACACATCGGGAAGAACTAAGTCAGATACTCCCCAAAAGTTAACTCTTTAAATCGGGGTTTACAGAGTTAACTTACTGTCAAAACCAAACTCTGTCCATATATGTCAAACGGTTCAATCTTGAAGTCCACATCTCGAGTTCTTTGGGTTGTGACTTTCTTTATGGTCAAAGCTTCATGAACATCCAGAATCACTGAAACAAAACACACATAACATGTCTCAGTTTAGCAGTAAATGTATTTGTGTAAATGTATAGAGAAACAGACTAAAGAGAAAATGTCAAAACTTTGTGACAAAATCTGGTATAAAAAATGTTCTTTTTTCTTTTTATTAATTTATCAATTTGTCCCACATTTCGGTTTTTTTGTTTTTTGTTTTTTGTTTTTGGGGGATATTTTTTTTTGCTTCAACTTAACAGCTCAGGAAAAAAGAGTCTTTTTTGATTTCTTAATTTACTAAACAAAATCTGACAATTTTTTACGTAAGGCCAGGCATCCGGAAAAGCAGATAAAGAGATACCGTTATATTAATCGCAGTGCAAGTTGAGCTCCTAAAACTTATGGAGTGTATGAGTTTAACAACCCTTTTAACATTTCACTTAGTTCCTTCAGCACTGCAAGACACACAGGGCCCTGAGACAGGAAACGTGGCCAACCCCACTGACGCTACAAGAGAAGCTATACGGGTCGCCAGATGAACTGAGCAGGACGGCCCAATTTATGACAGATACCGGACTTCAAGTGTGATGCGATCGAGAAGAAGAAGAAGAAGATTTCACTTAGTAAGTAAGTGTTCGAGTTCTATCAACACTACTAACTAGGTTATTTAAGAGGCAGAACTTCCAAATTTAACATTCCTCTCTGTTATGTCACAGCCAAATGGATTGAGAGCCTTGAAAACTCCACAAAATGACCTGAGTTCAAGAAAGGCTATCCTAAATTCGAGCCATTGCGATCCACTCTGTAGCCCAGCATGATAACCAACTGAGCTAACGGAGTGCCCTACACTTCACTTCAAAGAGAACAAACAAGATATAAGTTCTTTAACACTTTCCAGTCACCCAGCCAGCAGTACAAAATACCCCATCTGGTCACCCAGCCAGGAGAGTGACTGCAACTGACTTCTCAGGCCTGGCACAGAACTGCTGCTCCAGGTGACAGGAACGGATCATTTTCACTGTCGCATTATTGCCCCAAGGGACCACAATGTGTTAAAGGTCACCCTTATGTCAAAAACTAAAGAAAAAACAGGACATTTGTCGTCCACGCAGCCCTGGCCCCACCTTGTTTGAGTCCATCTGTCAAGCATTCCATGGAAATTCTGTTGACTCCTGATATCGTCTGGGTATCAAAGTCAACATCCACGTCAAGATGCAAATGGGAGGAGACGGCCTCTCGAAAATTGCTGGCTGTGGCGGGATCTTCGGCACTGTCTGCATGGAGCCCCATCTTGCTGCCTTTTTAGCTTCAGAACCTAATTTGTCTGTCACAGTTGTCTGACCTAATAATGATAAATAATAAATAGCACTTGTATAGCGTATACTCACACTCAACAGCAAGCTCTATGATCTTTAGTCATTCACATAATTACCCTCTAGGAAACCCTCAGAAAAAATCTCAGCATCCTGGGAAGCATCACTAATAAACAGACCAAAACTTCCCCCAATGTGTCTCTTGTGTAACTATACATATGAGACTGTGGATCATCACCTGTTCCACTGCACAGCCCTAAATGACATCAGAGCTACCCTTCTCCCTCCGAGACTTAACATTGACAACACACTCTATGGAACATTACAGCAGCTGCAGCAAACCTGCACTTATCACTACATGGCACTGGACAGAAGGACAAGATCCCAGCTGTTACAGGATCAATAACAACAACACCAACAACAACATAATAAGACAAAATGTTTATTCCCTGTCTATAGCCAGGTACCCATTCCCACGTGATTGCAGAGAGGAGAATTCATGAAAAACGTCTTTCCCAAGGATACAATGTCAGGCCTGTAACTGGGTTGGAATCCACAACTTCTTGGTTGCAACCCAAACAACAGAACCACTGACAACACCATTTACAAGACGAGGAAACTTTTTATGCAATGTTGACCCTGACAGTTGACCTCTATAAAACTAGAAAGAAAAAAACAAAGCAATACAGATTACCTCATCCTCAACTCAGCCAAGAAAAATTGAGAATAAATGTACAGTGAAGCACACGCGTAGCGAACATGTACATGGCAAAGCACACACACATTTATATATATATATATATATATAGCAAACATGTACATGACAGAAAAACACACATGGTGAACAGGTTTTCAGGTCCTGCAGTTTTTCTTATGCAAGAAAATTGAGGGGGAGCATCTGAAGATCAGATTTCTAATTCTCAACATAACCTCCATCTTGTTTGATAGCCACTGTCCACTTTTTAGTAAGTCCACATCTTCCAGCTTTGTCGAACTGAGCAGAATGGTTAGCCGATTTTTTTACAGCATCCTCATTTCCTCCATTATCTTCATAGTGTTGACCTCTCAATGCTTCTTTCATAGAACCGAAAAGGTGAAAGTCTGAAGGTGCCAATTCAGGAGGATAACCTGGGCGTGGCAGTGTTTTCCATCCAAACAAGGCAATTATCCCCCTTGCCCAGGCACTCGTATGCGGACAGGTACTGTCACGGTGAATATTAAGTACTCTTTCCATGTCGAACATAGGCCTGACTCATATTATAATTCTCGCTTTGAGTCGTTTTAGCCTATCAATATAGGTATGTATAAAGGCTTCAGAATTGACATTTGCTCCTCGTGATTTAAAAAAATCTGAGAACCACACCAAGAATGTCCCAAAACATGGTCGTCATGATTTTCTCAGCTGATTTTGCAGATCGACGCTTGTCTGACAAGCACATGGACAACGCTTCTTCCTCTTCCAGTCCATTACTCAAAATCTGATGCCCCTGTACAAAGTGCAGAAATCTAGAGCTTGGTTAAAAAAAATTAATTAAATCACAGCTGTTTGCTTCTGACAGACCTTCAACTTCAAGAACATAGCCATTTCAATGTGACATCATTTAGGTTAAAATTAAAGAAAATGGAATTTTAACAGCATCAGTTCAAAGCTACAAGTGCAAGTACTTGTGAGTTTAATGTCGTACAATTTGGTGTAAATTTTAACAAAATATCTAACAACTTGTAATACTTAATTGACTCCCCCTCGTAATGTAAGTTGTCTGTCCTGTTCTGTGAAGTGAGTCGCATTTTTCACCACCAAACATAGCATTTTATTACACTAGTACACTAGGACTTTAAACACTATTTAGACTTGGGAGAACATTTGGGGGGGGGGGGTGGAATTTGAGACAGTCGATTTTTTAAAAAGAGAATTCCCAGAAAAATGTATTTAATTCTACTGCCTCTGAACTCTCAAATTTTGCTCCTTTTTCTAAGCAGTGTAAATCCAGTATGGCAGACCATTTTTATTGGAATCTTGAAAGAGTCCTGTCCAATAGAATTATAACATAAATTCTACACTAAAATGTCGTCCTGTCCTTCTGTCTACCTCAAATAAATTACCCTCACCTCAAGAAACCTGAAGCACAAAACCTTACCTCTGAAGCTTTTTCAGAAATTTACACCGACTACAGCAGACGTATTTATATATTGTCTGACTTTGAGTTGGCCCCTAGCCAGCTTATAAGCCAAATTAAAAGGACCACTTCAAACCAGAATCAGGAAGACTCTGCCTTCAAGTTCTGACCTGAAATTGAAACTGAAACACAAATCTCACTCGCAGTGAGCCTAGATATTCTCAGCCAACACGAGTGGGAAGGGTGACTTGACCCCCTGAAATTAGTCAAATATAGAGAATCATAATATGTGAGGAATCATGGTGAAATCAGGCGCTCGTCAAAATAATAATATTAAATATCGAAGATACACGCATTTTTTCTACCAGTTTGGTCATTTTTATTTATCAAATTTTTGCTTTTTGTTCAACACCTTTTATATTTTATGTCAATATAAAAATACATTTCCAAGTGAATTTTACAGAAAAACGTTGATTAAAAGTACAAAATATGGAATTTTTCAGTTTTCTGGGACTCTCAAGCTATTGAAGATGACCAATTTTGGCGGCCATTTTCTTACTAGACTTACCATTCAAACCAGTCGACCGCACTTCATTCAATCGCAACTGTCTCGACTTCTATTCAAGATAGAAGAGTATTTATAAAATTGTTTCATCGAAAGCAGGGCAAATATGTAAGCTTTCAGATGACATTAATAACTCCACAACATGTCCAAAAATCGACGAACGCCTGATTCCACCATGTCGTGACACATAAGACCTATTGAATCAAACTAGACAGTAGACAGGTCTTTGGTTTGATCTAAACTAAACTTTTTTTTTTCTTTGGTAAGTGTTTTACTGCGCTCGCAACTGCATAGGTCATATGAGCGTGCGGGACACACCTAATATTTTCAGTAGGTAGGAAATTTTGAATTTTGCCCAGGTGGTGGCCGAAGCCTACTCTTATATCGATTTTAGACCACCAAGGGATCTTTAACGTGCGCAACTTGAACACGGGCCCTCCCAGATTTTTTGCCCTTGTCCGAGAAGGCTAGGTGTAGAAGTCTAGATCTTTCCTACCAGAAGATCAGGGGTGTGGCTGAAAGACAGCAGTAAGAAGGAGCCAAGGAGAAAGGTGGCAGAAAGAGTCAGGCACCCAGAGGAGGGGGCACTGTGAGGGGTGGGGACTGAAAGAGGAGACGAAAGCAGACAACAGAACATTGCTAGAGAGCAGGAAAGGAGGTGAAAGTAGACATGACAATTTTAGAGAAGAAAATTTTTCGGTCGCTTCCCGGACTCGAACCTGGGACCTTTGAATGAGAGGCCAACACCTTAACCTCTAGGCCACAAGAGCCCCCAAACCAAACTTTAACTTTTGTGCAATTGTAAATTATTTAATGTAGGCCTAAAGAACTACGAAGTGTAGGTCCCATCATACTGACTAAAACTAAAAGAACTAGACTAGTCAATAGCTGTATGTAAGAACACCTCTAGCCTCTATATTATGATACTAGATCTAGATCTAGATTCAATGTCCTCAAGACAGAATTATGTAGACTAACCTTCTTCGGGTGTGGAGTAAAAGGGAAAACCAAAATCAAACTGAGCTTAATCTAAATTGGTAAACTCCTAGATTAAGATCTAGATTGAAATAATATGACTGTTATTTGACTACCCTCTATGATAGGCCTACTGACTAACTGATTATCACTGTTTCGTCAGCCATTCTAGTCTAGTCATATTGTGAATATGACCATTGACATATTGAATATTGTTCCCTGTTGTGTTGGTTGGGGAGGATGGATTTGTCCCCGTTGAATTTAATCCACCCATCGTTATCCAATGTTATAAAAAGTATGATTTCATATTAATCAATTCAAAAGTCGGTTTCTTCTTTACGTGTGTCCAACCACAACGAATAACTTACTTACAAAACCACGCCAAAACTATGCAAGCGCTTCTATCCAAGACCTTTACTTTGTGCGAAATGCAAGTAAGTTGAAAGTTGGTTGGTAACGCCTACCATCTACTTCCGCTTTCTTTTCTAAGTGACTACTATAAAACAATGACTGGCAAAGTAGCACGGTCAACGTCTTCCCCCAACCATGGCAAAGTAGGCACATAGGCTAGGCCTAGATCTAGATCTACTTTGTTTGTTGTTGGGTTGTTGTTGTTTTTCGGGGGGGTTTTCAGATCAAATATAATATATGTATATGTATATATATT